CCCCGGGCTCTCCTGCATAACATGCAATGTATCACCGACAGTCAAATGCCCCCTACGGACATCAATCAGGCAATCGTAACTTCTTAGGAAATCCATTCCCAGCAAACCTCCCCGAAGGCCGCTATCCATCACGACTAACTCATGCCTAAATACCTGATCTCCGAGAAACAACTCCGCCCAGACGCCATGTCGGGCTCTCAGAGACCCACCTTGCACATCCACCAACGCAACCTCCAAAGAATGGAGACTCGGCCGCCGCGCTGGAAGGCCGTCGTAGGTGACACGATTTAAAAGAGACAGCTCAGCCCCAGTGTCAACTACAAATGGCACTCGCTGCCCACACAACAGTATCTCAACCTGCCATGACAGGCGCGGACTCGAACACACCGCATCCCGCCGAAGTGGATCAGCCGAATCGGACCGAGGCTGGAACACCACATCATACTCTATCGCGTCCCCCCGCAATATTGATTCGGGTTGCCCCTTATAGAACCCCGATGACCTTGCCGACCTCGAGATCCGGGGCCGTTCCGGAAATCCTCCCGCACACTATCGGGGCAGTCCTGCGCAAAATGCCCCAGCCTACCACACGACCAGCAGCTATAATCACGCCTAGCTGAACCCCGTGAGTGCAGAGCACCTCGACTGACTTGCTGCGGGCTGGCACGCCATTGCTAATCATTCCCACGACCACACAACATATCACCAACCAACCTAGCAATTTCCTCTATGTCCTCCCGACATAACCTACCAGCGCCGGAATTGGATAAACCCACCCCAGGCCTAGCAGCACGAGGATCTACCCCAGCAGGCCTCACCGCTAGTTTACGAAATGGGACTGCGAAATTACCCATCTCCGCCTCATACTCATCGGCAACCAAAGCAGAACCCTCCACGGTCAAATAATTACGAGACAACACGTAATATTTTAAGGCGGGACTCGAATGCATAACCTCTAGCAATCGACAACGCGCCTGGTCACTCGCTTGCTCCGAAGTGAGAAAGGGTTGTGCCCTTAAAGTCAGCCTCTTTAATTCTCGGGCATACTCACGCCAACTTTGCCCAGGCTGGCGAACGCAGTCTCGTAGGGCTGCTCTCCTCCCCAGTGCACTACCCAGAGGTTGAAAACGCGCAATCAAAGCGTGTCGCACCATCGCCTCATCGACGTCGACATCACAGTCTTCTAGAACGGAGGACGCCGGCCATTCCAGTGCCCCCACTAACTGCACTAACCTCTCTTCAGCGCACCACCCATTGAGCCTGCATATCAGGTCAAACTGTCTGAGGAAACCCTCTAACGGCACACCCTCTTTACCCGTGAAGGGCTTCACCTTTACCCTACTCTTCGTAGTTGACCGAGGGAACCCCCAGATTCCCTCACGAAGGGGGATGCAAAATGCCTGTCACTCCCCCCACCACCAGCAGACGTAAGGCAACCCACCCTCACGATGGGAACCCATTACCTCACCCACACGGCGAGAAAACATCGCATCACCCTCTCGGTGAGAAAATACCGCATCACCCCCATGGTGAGAAAATAATGGGTCGCCCTCAAGGTGACCCACACCCAGCAGATTACTCGCTCGCTTCGTGCGAGCAGAATATGGGCCCTCCTCGGCCCAAGTAGAATCACGCCTCGCGCGCGGTGCAGGGCTAATAGTAGCCGGAGCGACTGACGGCGACCAAGCAGCGCGTGCCTCTGCTGCTTCGTCGAGATCAACAACGCAAGAGACTGAATCTTGTCGACGAGGGGGAGTTCTCACCAAGTCACGCCCCCTACTCGGCGCTAAGGATGCCGGCGGAGTCAACTCATCATCCACTACTACGCGTAGCGCGCCCCTGCATACCAACCCCAAACTCAGTAGGGTCCGATGAAACCACTGCCACCTGTTTCTTCGCCCGGGCACCCTTCGGCGGCATCGCGAACCGCCCCCCCCCCTGGGAAACGTTGTCTGACAAAAACACCCTAAGCACACCGACAGGTCTACGGCACCAGTTGTAGCGTTTTGTGTCTTTCCGCGACACCAGGGGGCGCCACCTGACAATACGCAGTAACTAGCAGTTTTACCTCACGTATAGTGCAGTGCTACACGGTGGATAGTGGCAACGAGAAATACAAGATAGGTGTTCCTACCTTATGCGTCGTATCGTCGCCACCTCAGTCTCCACTCCCCCACGAGCGCCTAAGGGCTACTGCGCTCACGCCTCCGGACCCAGCGTTCGTTCCGGCTTCGGTGTGGTTAGTCAACAATGCCAGACGACGGACGTCACGGGACAGACAGTGACACAACACAACACGACGCACCTTATGACGCGGGGCTACTCGAAAGATACGGGTAATACTGTGACGTGTAGGGGAGGGGCAGCTGGCTGACGAGACACCCGTACGGCCACTCACACAAGGGACGCACTCAACGCCCGAGGCTGCTACTAATGGTCACTATTAAATCTATTATTGCCGTTAACGTTATTATTATTATTAATTTACTATTATTATTACTCAGCCCCGACGGTGTGCCGACAACAGCTCGCTGTACTCACTCTTTCTCGTTCCCGGTTCTCTCTCGGTGAGTCTCTCTCTCTCTCGCTCAAACCGTCGCACCTAACACGGCCGCTCGCACGCTGCGCGCTCGGCTTCCCTTCCTACCTCCTCTGCACTAAATCTCTCTCTCGCTCTATATCTCTCCAACTCCTCTGCACTTTCTCTATTCACAACCTTCCCGCTCGCTCACTCAAAACACAATAAACAACGCTAACCCACGCCGTTTGCACACGACTCGCCGAACAACCTACTGTTTCCTACGCTAGCGCCGCTCTCGGTCGCTAGAAGGGGTTACAACCGCAACTAATGGCAGCCCCCATCGAATCCGGCGGTGAGTGAGTAATTGCTGCAATACACTTACAAAACGCACATGAAACACACAGAAATACATTACAAACATAAAACCGATCACAAACACAACACTTACTCCCCCCCCCCCTGGGGCAAACTCAACCCCCTGGGGCAAACTCAACCCCGGCGAGCACTAGGCTCGCGGCAACCGGTACCACCGCTACAATACTTATAGACTGAGAGACTTGTAGACCAATTTAGTCGGGCGCACTTTGTCATCGTTATAACCTCTATATACATGTATAGCTACACTTTCTGAACATTGATTTTGGAAGTTGTATGTTGACGATGTTTGCGCATGTCTCTATAATAAAATGTTGTTATTGTTATAGAAAAGTTGTTCTGAAAGGATTTTGAACTTTACACGAACCCTAATTTGTATTTATTTTACCCTATCGGTACTGATGTCCATGTATTTTCAATGTTGCTTCTAGTGTGAAAATTTAACAGTAATATAGCCAGGGCTACTCAAATTTTCAATGACTGTAGTGTACATAGAATAATAGGTTCTTGCACGTTGATTTGTAGACGATTCTTGGTTTGAGCCGTTTCAAGTTGCCAAGAATCAGTACAATCAGTCAACTCCAAAGCCACTCCCCGGAAGAAGCCAATAACAGTAGTTATCTTTACCTTTCCGATGAGTAGCTATGGCGTTTAATGGCATGGTAGCGTTTAGTGCACAAGTACTGATTCTTGGCAACGTACACCCTCGGTCAAAATGCAGCATAATGACCGAACTGAAGCCACCGGGAGGCACGGTCGTGCTTCCTGTAAAGAACATCAGAACATCAGAAACTCTGATAGCGATGTCCTCTACAGGAGGCTGGAAGTCCTCCCGTTGAGCTTCAGTCTTGCAGGTTGCCAATCCGCGATGTACATCCTTGAGAAACGACTCAAACCAATAGTATGCCTTGTTTTCATCCTTGTACAATTGGGATCTCTCTGTCCCGTATCTGTTCAACTCAAAGAGCTGCAAGAAGGCGGCTTCTGTGAGGTCCGGGATGCTGTCCCGTGACAGAAATTGCATGGCCGCCTCCACCGCCTCAGGGGTTGACTTCCAGGTGTCCAGCATTGGCTGAAGACCTAAAGGATAACATCATGCAAATTATTAGCATACACCATAACACCTACCAAGGATAAAACAAGGTAATGTAATGACATTTCGTTATAAAAAGTATGGGGGTGACTGAATTCTGAAACGGAGATCGAAATAGCTTTGCTGCTGCCGATGAATTGATGCATATACCCCTGGTACACATTTTGATTTCTTTTGCTGACATGCCCCCCCCCCTCACAATTTTAAATGGAATAGCCCTTACACAGAAGGATTATTATAGAGCATCCCAGAAAGTAAATCGGCATCATTACTGCTAAATGCTAGTTGCACTTTTCTAACATATTCTGACCGTACAAGAAAACTTGTCAACGTCCATCATATATTAATAGGTTTCTCCTTCAGTACCAAAATAAATAGCTTTTAAATAGCTGTCATCAGAAATTTTCAAAATAAAGCACTTGCCTAGCCTTTAAAAATCAATTTGGAAATAAAGCACTTTTACCAAATAACCAAACCCCGCGGCTACTCTGCAATTATTTAGTAGCTTACCGGCCTGAAAGTCAACGACAGCATTCATCTGGTGTAGCAGAACATCACGGCGGAAAAGCCCTCGCACCCATCTTGCCCGGTCTGCCTCCGAGAGAGCCGTTATCGGTTTTGAACAGCCGATTGTCGGTCGATCAATGACCTCATCAACATCTTGCAGGCAGCAGTTCATCAGCTATTCGTAAATATAAAGAGACATGCTAATTTAAATGGGTAGCTTAATAAATATTATAGCTACGTCTACACGACGAACCTTAACTCGAGTTAAGCGCTAACTCGAGTTAGCGATTATGTAGCGTCTACACGACGAACCTTAACTCGAGTTAAGCTAACTCAAGTCTAGCTTCGGTTATGTAAGGTCGTAACACGACCAACACGATCAGCGATGCGTACTCGCGGCCCACCGCCGGGCATGCGGCCCCCGCCTGCTATAATGTACGTTATCACGTGCCGTACTAGTGCTGCCGCTATCGTGGAGGTTAAGCTAACTCGAGTTAAGCGTCTACACGAGCCTTAACTCGAGTTAGCCTAACCTCGATCGACTGGCGAGGTTAAGCTAACTCGAGTTACCTTAAGGGCCCCGTGTAGACGCTTAACTCGAGTTAAGGTTCGTCGTGTAGACGCAGCTTGTGTGTAAGGCCACGGGTCACATGGTACACAATCACAATGGATGCGTCTCCAGCCACTTAAAGGCTCACAATGCCGGCATCGAAACGCTAATTTCTCCAGTACTAGCACTAGCAATACTTCGTGTCATGCATACTCACACTACCTTATAACAAAATAAACTCTAGTTTGCTCCCATTTCACCTGCGCGTTTGCTTAAAACCCACAAGAAAGAGGTGAGAAAACTGGCATTCTGGCGCAAACGCCGACTGTTTCCCAAACAAAATAGCCTCGAAGTGGTGACGTGACGTCACATGTTTTTATCTTTTGCTGCGCCCGTACCGCTGTACCGCGCGCACCGCTGCACGGTTGCTTGGAGATTGGGGAAACTGTCAACAACATCGGAGAATTTCAACAACATTGGAGGTATTTTCAAAATACCTTTTATAAGACAACGCGCAGTTGAAATGGGAGGAACTAGAGTTTATTTTGCCATAAGGTAGTATGATTATGCACATGACACGAAGTATTTGCTAGTCTATTACTGGAGAAATTTAGCGTTTGATGCCGCATTGTGAGCCTTTAAGGGTTAACATTGACCAACATAATGTAAAGCATAAATATGATCTTTTTGATAAGGTGTGAGTGTTTGTTTACTTACAAGATGGATACCTACACACATATTAGCTTACTTATATGAATGGGTTGACACTGTTGATACTCTTGACAGCAGTAGCCATTATAATGGAAGGTCTATTACTTATCACATGAACAGTGGTAAGTCAGAAAAACAGTTGCTCTGCAATGAGAAATTTGCCAGTTACCTTTTCTAGCCTAGCTCGGTTTGTTATCTGTCTCGCGAAGTGACTGGGCCTCGACGTCTCCCAGACTTGACGTGATGATGTACCGCGCCAGAGGACGTTGAGAAATACCGGCAACCAACTGTGCCCTAAAATTGCAAGTACGAGATGCGTCAGAGAATAAATATAAGAATTAAAGGGTACTCTCAACTAAATCAAACATGTATTTAATTCTTGGTATGCTTTATTTTAATAGTCAAGAACAATGTCTAAATGTACATGGATGTCTCAAAGGCCACACTTAGTGTTTTTTATAGCAGAACCTGCTAACAGTGCAGACCATTGCGACCTAAGTTATCCCCAAAATACATTCGGAGTAAGCGCATCTTGCCAAACACACTAAATGATGGGCAACTAAATACATTAACCTGCATGGGCAGTGGTCCGTGGCCAACGTTAGCGCCCTAGCGTCCTGAAGTCACCCTCATCCAGAGAGGTTGCGTCGATTGAGAATCCACGCCCTGAACCTGAAAAACATTGAAGAATTTAACTATTAGCTATGGGACCTCAAAATCAATAGGGGTCATCCTCCTCCCATGGGCAGTCCACCTATTAAGTTTCATGATTCTAGGTCAAACGATATTCAAGTTAGAGTCCGGACAACAGATTATCCCTATATAATATCATCATATAGCAAAAGTGAGTTATCTCCCCTGCTACTTTGACCTTGGGACCTTAAAATCAGAGGGCGTTTTAGCCTCATCCACGGGCGCACGTCTACCTTCTAAGTGTTCATGACCTGTAGGGTCAAACACGGTATTTAAGTTAGAGTTCGGAAACCAGATTATCCTATATATCATCATAGAGCAAACTGAGTAATCTACCCCTGCTACTGGTGACCTTTGACTGAGGAGCTAAAATTAATAGGGTCCATCCTCCTCCCCGAATGACAGTCTAGCCTATTAAGTTTTCATTGACTCTAGGTCAAACCGGGTATTTGAGCGTTAGAGTTCGGAAACCAAATTGTTGATGCCGTCGCCGCTGCCGGAATGAGTATCCACTACGTCTCGGCTTTCTTGCTTATGCCAAGGCGAGACAAAAATGGTCGGTCTGCAGTTTAGAAAACGTTTTCTAAGGCCACCACCTTTTCTCCCCTCCCCACAATATTTATAGTATGGGCTGCACGAAATTGCCATACTTACTGTTGCTGAGAACAGACGACCTCCATTCTTGTAGATGAGAGCTTCAGCTCCCTCATTAGCGCCGCCACCATCTTGGCTTCCTCGGGAAAACAACCACGAGAAGCCCGGTGCCGCCTATCAGCCGCTGAGTTCCTCAAGCATGCTGTCGAATAGCAGCATCCCGCCATTGATGCATATAGCCGGCACGTCCACTGAGCCTAGCGTTACACTCTTGTACTAGCTGTGCCAGTGGGGACGTAGGGCGCTGAAAAATATGGTGTTATTTAATACGGATTGTTATATGACAATGTGGCTTTGATTAAAGTAAATTGGACACATGTAAAAATTCCATTTTGACATTGTTATCATCTGTTACGTTTTATTTTCATGCCAACAACCTAAATTCTATGATTTCCATATTTTGGGTTGTGAAATTCCTTTCAGCAAATTTTTCGAAATTTTTGTTGTTGATACGAAGAGCTTAATGGTAGATGAACATTAGTGAGTTATATGATTATTGTATTTGAACAGGTTTTAGAACCACATCTAGTTGAAAGTGCTTGTCCGTCCCATCCGTAACATTTTCTTACTGTGGAATGGCCCTTATATTGATAGAACTTCAAATTAATTACCTCCAAAGAACTATCATCCACAACTAACGGCTCATCATCGCTATCATCAGCAGTTGACTCTTCTTGGGTAGAGGTTGGTGGAGAGCTGTTTGCAGTCGGGAGGTCTGGCTGTTCTTCAGACTGTTGCAGATCACGGGCCTAAAATGATATATTTCAGGGGAATGAATAAACCTGTTGTCCCCAAATATTAACATTTGGAGATTAACAACAGGGGAGTGGTCATGTTCACCAATTTGAAAGCCTGCCAATCACTTATTTTATATTATAAATTGGTTATAAATTTGGCTAGATAATTTGAATCACCAACCGGGTTAAATGACAAATTACTTACCTCTGTGTCACTCAGCCAATAAACGTGTAGAACGACCGATCTGGTCAGCCCATAATGGGACAGAGATGACCCCTTGAGTGTTGACTCGAGCGCCGGGGATTCCCTGGACGACTCCCGAACGACAAACATTTGTGTGGCAGTTGGCTGGCTGCCGATGAAATCCATGAGCACCTAAACAAATGACAGTTTTTTTCCATATATAATGAACAGATAAAGGGGGAGGGGCAAAGGTAAAAATGTGGTAGAGAAAGAAATTCGGACTTTAATATGGTAGCAGCCGTTAACCGTCGTGGCCTACATATAAATGTCATCAGGTGACCTTGGACATCAGTTGAGGTTAACATCATCAATAGGGTTATTGGCAGCCCACAGCCGACAGCCACCACCCAGGGTGGAGGAATAGCCTTTCATTGCTGATAGTCGCCTTAAACATGCAGATTCAATACCTGAATATCTTGGTCCGCATTGAACCGACGGGTAGAGTCTTGACCACTGGTGTTGCTAATCGAAAGGCAGCCGTGCAGCCCGTTCTGCTTGGATCTGTAATTGAACAAATACTTAGAATTTACGGGAGAGCAATCAGTACTTATAGACATGCTAAATTCATGAAATAACAAGAGTTGTCAGATGACAACGTAGCACGCCGGGTATATAACAATTAGTAAACGGCATCAATCTGACATTTCTACTTCCAAATCTTTGTGAGTTATGGGCAAGCCTATAGTTTTTTTCTAAGTCTGGTTAAAGTTTTTGTCATGGGTGACCTTGACCCCTTTGAAGATTATATCGAGTAACATGAGCAAGGTCATGTCGTAGACTTTCCCCTGGGGTACTTCAGTACCAAGTATGAAGATCCTAGGTCAAAAAATTTGCGAGTAAAGGGATCTTGAAAAAGGGGGGGGGGCCGACGCCGACGGTATCGCATTAGCTCTAGGGACTCCGTCCCGGCCATCTAATAAAGGTATGAATAAATATCAATAAAATGATTGTTTGAAAATTTATACTGATGTGATAGTTGAAGACACAGATCACAAAATATTTTTCGACTTTCAATGCCCACATCCACATCCAGGAGTTCTTTATCAAAATTAAATACCTGCAGATGCAGCAGCAGGTATTACATATTGATTTTACCTTGCTTAAACAACTATTAAGTCAATATGTAATACCTGCTGCTAAAAACCTATTTTTTGACGCATATTTTTACAATGACTGATAAGGACGCTAAAAAAAATTTCTGCCTCATGCCGTACTACTAGTATGTACGGAGTGTACATGTACTAGGTTTTGTAATACTCAGGGGCCGGTTTCACGAAGCGTACTTAACTTAAGTATGATTAAATCACTAATCATATTTAACTTCCCGTAATTATGATTAGTTAATCATACTCAAAAATCTGTTTCACGAAGCGATTTAAGTACATATTTAACTAATCACATAATTAGCCGACTTCAACATGAATAGACTGGTACTCGCTTTTAAAAATTACAACGGTATTCAATATGGCGGAACAATACGCCAAAAATATCTTCAAGTTCGGTACATGAAAAAGAATTAATTTCGTCAACTATAAAGTGATTGAAAGTGTAGGCAGCAAATCTTAGATAGATTTAACATTTCCTAGCGCGAAAAAATTGAAGTAAAATTTCAATTGGATAAATCTGCAACGCTACCTAATATACTATAGTACGGTACTACTTCTAAGTTCTAGGACTAGTAACTAATTATGAACCTCCTACATCCTCTCCCACCTGCTCCTGAGTAGAAGTTGTAGAATATTGGTGATTATTAATCATGATTAAAGCTTAATTACCGCTTCGTGAAACAGTCACTTAATTTAAGTACGAAGAAGTTTAAATCATGATTAGTGATTTAATCTCACGATTCAATACTTCAAGTTTACGCTTCGTGCAAAACGCGCCCCTGGTGCTCCATCTTATGCTCACCAGCTGCATTGTGGACACACCCATTTTAATAGTCAGCCGATACAGCTTCCTCCTACATGCATTTTTGTGCTTCAATATTTATATCCACCTGTTATAGTTAGCAGTGACAGCCTTCTCCTGAATTTTGTTTCAAGATTATACCCACCTATAATCATTTGTTTTAATGTCATGCAAAAAGCTAGAACAAAATATGACTTCACCTCGATCTGCCACCGTCTCTTGCTGTCTCGGGACTCAGAGACAGAGCTTGCCTGCTCTGGCCAAGGCCGCGATTGCCTCGCTGTTTGTAGCCGCCGAGCTCTATCCGTAGCCAAGCTCTCCTGGAATTGCTTTTTCTCTATCACCTCGCAGTCGTCCAGTTTGCCCCACTGTGTGTCCTTTGCAGCAAATCTGAATATAAGAAGAAACTCACACGATAACAATGAGAGCCCATCTTAGTATGAGGTTCAGTTGGTTGTGCTCTGATTTGTAATCTCTACTATCAACCGTGACATGTCGATGAGCTGTGCTTTCGAAAACAGGTGGTTTCGTGCCCGACTCTTATGGTAGATGCTTTGTGGAAGCTTAAAAAGTATTATCGCAGTTGAATCTAATAAGCCTTAACCGCCTCAAAATTAGTATCGAAAGACCATACAGTGTCTTCACTGTTCTAAGCTCTTCTAAGTTATGATTAAATAAGGTATGATAACCATTTATGGTAATCCGACTTTCAATTACGGTGGCATGCATCGCAATTGATCACAATCTGTAACTACACGAGAAGAAGTACAAGGTACGAAATAAACAATCAGCAATCCTATACTTAAAAACAATTAGAATCCCAGTGAGTGCCCACACTCACTTGAGGAGCCAGGCTGGTGCTGCACGGCGGAGCAGCCTGGTGCTGACGGCGGCAGCGCACCGTCGGTGCTGCGCGCGGAGCCAAGCGCTGGTGGCGGACGCGGAGCAGCGTGGTACTGACGGCGAGCAGCTGGTGCGCTGACGCGCGGAGCAGGTTGGTGCTGACGGCGCGAGAGCCAGCTGGTGCCTGACGGCGGAGCCAGCCTGGTGCTGACGCGGCAGCAGTGGTGCTGACGGCGGAGCAGCTGGTGCTGACGGCGGAGCAGCTGGTGCTGACGGCGGAGCAGCTGGTGCTGACGGCGGAGCTGACGACTGGTCACCATCCTATTTGAAGAAAAAAAACCAGCAGTCAATGACGGGTCAATGACCTGCGAGCTATAACAGTTAATAATTTAAATTTATAATTTTTTTAACTTTCTTCATGTACATGGAAATAATAGATCAGATAAAAAAAATTATGAATTTATGATTCAGTTTCATTAGTGGCATGCTATGCGACCCGTTATGGTTCAGCGGAAAGTTCGCTGCACCAGGTAGTCATGTTATGCCCACACATGGTTAAATCAGGCTGGAGATCGAGTTTCCTAGCTGTCCTGTGAATGATATGGTGACAGACTGACTAGACACAGGTGAGATTTGAACTGCCTACATGTAGCGTAATAATCACTGAACTAGATTCAGTCGATGGGTGGCCATTGCATATTCCCACTTTTTTGCCCCCTTTGAATGTCGCCTCCATATTTCGAAAGGTTCATGCTTATCTGTGATGATAGATCAATGAATAGCCCCAAGTCTCTAACTTCTAAGTAGAACGCAGGGTTCTCCAAGAGCACTTATAGCCTGGCGGCCCGCCAGGCTATCGGCGAGCCCCGCCATCCTGAAATGCACCCGCCACTCTAAATATCATAGCCGTCATGCTAAATATCATAGCCCCCGGACCCCCCTAGCACGCAAACCGCCTTCGGCGATTTGCAACTAGGACCGTAAAGGCAGCACCCGCCATGCTATAATGAAAAAGCTTGGAGAACCCTGGAACGGTATTGGATAAGTTAAGTAATGTTACATTTGCTTGTTTGGATTATCTCCCCTAGCTCCGCTTCCGAATGTTGCATCAAATTTCCAAATGGCTCATGAACATCTGCGATATAGATCAATTAATCCTCTATATATGTTTGAAGTCTCTACTTTGAATGGTCTAGGCGGAGTTAGGTAATACGACATGCTGGTATGGATTATCTCCCATAGCTACACTTCCGAATGTTGCCTCAAAATTCTGAATGGCTCATGCACATCTGCGATGATAGATCAATCAATCCCCAATGTTTGAAGTCTCTACTTTGAACAATCCAGGAGGAGTTAGGTAATACGACATAAGCCGGTATGGATTATCTCCCATAGCTCCGCTAACAATTCCGAAAGGCTCATGCACACCTGGGATAAGATACTAATCAGTCCCCAAAGTTTGAAGTCTGTACGTTGAACGGTCAAGAAGGAGTTAGGTAATACGACATATGCTGGTACCGACGTTTCCGAACGCTGCATCAAAATTTCGAAAGGCCCATGCATGCCTGGGATGATAGACCAATCAATCCCCAAAGCTTTCATTTGACATACAACATGAACTGATTTGACCAAAATTCAGTTTGACCTTCCGATGACCTTTGCCTACACTCCCGGAAACGAACGGGCGTGTAATTAAGTTTCCTCTCTCTCGCGTGCCGGAAGTCAAAATTAAAAAAAACGTTACATAAGTTTTGCGTCTTGACCTTGTAAGTATGTATGCAACGTTTTGTGTAAACAAATCAAAAAAATTGACGCCGTAATTGCGTTTTAAAGAATTTGACCTTTTGGCCCCCACCGCGGGGGGGGGGCGGAGTCAAAATTCCGAAGGGCTCATGCATGCGCATTCCTGATGTTGGGTCTAACAATCCCAAAAGTTTTAAGTCTCTACGTCAAACGGTCTGGCAGGAGTTCGACGACATTACGGACAAACGTACGTACGACGGAGGGTAATACATGATTCCCACTTTTTTTTCCAAAAAGGTGGGAATAATTACTTACGTTAAAACTGTACTTACAGAGGGCTCTTGAATTGCAGACGGCACCTGTTCTTCTGCCAGCAGATATAGTCGACCCTGCGGGCACATGCTGAGCAGTGTTGATGCATTAAACACTACACTCCCGGAAACGAACGGGCGTGTAAGTTTCCTGTTGCCCGGCAATATCTGGGAAGTGAAAGTTTTATATTAATTAAATGTGTCACAATGAGTATAATGAATAAAAGTGTAATCTTGTACCAGCTATACCATAAGTTTCCTGCCCGGTGAATTATATCGATGACAGGCTGCATGGCTAGATGTATGACTGTACCTGTATGTGGAATTTGAATCCCAACCTGGATGCCTATAGTCTATCTATATAGTCTAGTTCCTTAGCTACAGGTCAGGAAATTTCCTATTTGAGAAATTAAATATATCAATAGTAACTTTTCATAATTTGTCCTCCGCAAGACATGCTCATGTTTTGTGCAGCTTTGACAATTGGCTTGTTATAACTATCTGATAGCATATTCAGCATTACATTTTCCATGCAGCTAATCATTCATATCAATCCTTGATATTAACTTGCAAATCTAAAATAGAAGAATACCTGGAGGTATAGAAACGGGAAGGTGCCAAACAATGATGCAATCTCAGCACGTATAGTCTCTGCGGAGTCCATTGTGTTGAAGCAGATTTTGCCCGCCATCCGCTGCATTGTCATGTTGGCAATTTTGTTTGCACTGGGTACGGGGAACGTGCCATCATATGCTATGACCGAGTCGTGTGGTAAAATCATGACATCTTTCGTGACCACACGACCTTTGCGCTTGGCCGCACGATCATTATTGCGCAGAGTTACAGGCCGTGTTCGCTTTTTGTGTCTCAAGACAGGCTGTTAAACAAGAGAAATATCATGAACTACCTGAAAAACAGCCATGATTCATGAAATAAAGTACAATGGGAATTGGCAGATGGGCAGATATTAATGTATTGCCAATCTAATTATATAAGAAGTTTTAAAAATAAAAGTGCCCCTAAAAACGTGTACAGTACACACATCGAGGTAAATAGAATACATTTTGAATTGAAAACCCCTTCTCGATCCCCTATAACATTTCAAACAAATATCGGTGAAACACCCCCACCCCCTATTTTTGTTTCGTCGCGGTGCCCCCACTCCTTTTTTGGGTCTTTCCGAATCCCCCACCTTCAAAAATGGAACAGCACTGAATGATTAATTGGTTAAGAATACGATTACAGGGACCGATTACCCGGTTACAAAAATCTGTAACCGTTTAAGATCTAGTTTAATGTAATTTACTGCCTCACCATAATTGTGGGATAATCCTGATTGTCCTGGAACTCGTCTTCTGAATTGGTGGCAGCTGATGTTGTTAGGGCGTTGGGCGTTGTGGGTGCGTTGCGGTTAGACCAATAAATTGTGCCCTAAACATTTTTATATTCTGGTGTTATTTTAGAATATCTCCAGTACTAGACTAGCAAATACTTCGTGTCATGCATAATCACACTACTTTATGACAAAATAAACTCTAGTTCCTCCCATTTCACTGCGCGTTGTCTTATAAAAGGTATTTGAAAATACCTCCAATGTTGTTCAAATTCTCCGATGTTGTTGACAATTTTCCCCAAGCAACCGTGCAGCGGTGCTGAGGTACAGCGGTACGGGTGTAGCAAAGATAAAAACATGTGATGTCACCTCACCACTTCGAGGCTAAATTGTTTGGCAAACAAGTCGGCGTTTGCGCCAGAATGCCAGTTTTCTCATCTATTTCTTGTGGGTTTTAAGCAAACGCACAGTGTTTGTGCGCACGGATTGTGCGGCTTTAAGCGATTTAACGGTTTAGAGCATGCATCAAGGTTTACACAAGAAGTTTACCTTCGTAGCGCACGAACGAGATAGGGTCATGGGAAAAATCCCAAAACAATCCATCCAGCTGGGTTGGACTCTTTATTGAAACCTGCATAATATAATATAGACTTCGCAATTGGACGGATATACATACGTACAGATGCACGCACGCACGCACGCACGCACGCACGCACGCACGCACACACACACACACACATGGACATACATATAATATATACATATCTATTTATATGTCTGTCTCGTAAGTACGGGCCGTGATGACCTACATTCGCTTTGCATTGTGAATCCCTTACACATACTTCTATCTATAACCAGCCTTCCATTATAATCCGATTGATGGTATACAACTTCAACTAGCGTGTGCTGCGTTCGCGCGTATAAAAATCTACAGTGCATCTCTGTGCAATGCGAGAATTTCTAGCTCGATAACATGATCTCAAAGGAGTGCAGGGGGCCTTATACAAATACATGCGCATGCACACGCAGGCACGCACGCACACACACACACACACACGCGCGTGTACACGCACGCACGCGCACGATAAAGACGAATAATTGTACACATCACACGCTCAAGCACGCACGAACCACGGCCGAGTAATGTACAGTGTATTCTCGCTGTAATGGGATATATGGCTACGCACTTAAATATAGGTGCGCACTCAAACCGTTTTCCCGCCAGGGAATTATTTGCATTAGCACTTAAAAGTTTGCACGACATCGTACCGTAGCTACTCTACTCTCACCTAATACCTTTACGTCCACATTACTGAAATCGTCCATCACGTTGATGTCTGCTTCTTCGACGACAAGAGGTTCCACTTCTTGGCTCCATAGCGAATTCATTAAACATCTCTCCTCCGACATAGAGAGGTATCCGGGTCCGGTTCGTACATCGAACATCGTCACGCCGGAGAACAAAAAAGTTCTAAAAATATTCTTATTATTGTAATATTATTAATCTCTTTATCTTTATAAGTTTTATTGGGGTCTCTATTCTGTTGTCTTCCTCGATTACCTGACTTCATGTGCAAAAGCCTACGCTACTGCGGAATATTGTCAGGTTTACTATATCACCGTTATTCTTGTTTAGTTCGTAATTTCTTGTATATTCGAGAAGGACAACTAAACCTAAGGATCCCTTTAAGTTTAGCTTCCTTGTTTCTGCCATTCCGTATTAGAATTTTCTCTCTTCCACCTTAGTGCCAATTTGAGGCTTTTTCTACTGCGATCCGCAGTGTTGATCTGTCTATTTGATCAACTTGTCTCTATCCGTCTTCGATATAGTCCCGTGGACTTTGAAGACTATTATTTACGAGTTAGCTTACACTCGTTGAACGTGACGTTTGCAGGACGCCTTTACAACAACGCGCCACTTTACTAAAAGCAGCAACAAAGCGACCGATCATTTCAAAATAACGCCGAACATTAGGATATAAATTACATCAAGGATATTTGTTACGCGGCGATTTGATTTACCTTTAGATGTCAAGTTGAATTTTATATACTCTCGTCAGGCTACTCAGGCAAACGCGTTCTATAACTCACGCTCGTTTGTTCCAAGTGGCGGTGAAAGCTTTCAATTACAAACACAAGCCTCTCCTGGGTGCAATTGCGATTCGATTTGTCACGTTACACGTTAGCTGGTTCTACAATACGGTTGTGTCTACTTCCATAGAGTAGTAAACTTGATGTAGAAATTGTCGGGAGAATTGAATACGACAAACGATACAGCTACTAAACTTAACGACTATTGTTAAACAATGTTCCATTTCCGACCATTGTATATGTTTCATTCATATTAAAGAATAATAGATATCCCATAATAATACCGTAGTGTATTTAAAAGCTATCTACGTTACGAACACACTTTGCTATTAAAATTCGCATTATAATTGAAATATAGGGGTTTCTAATGAAGGCACAAATGGAAGCGACGTCAAGCAAATATTTTCATATCGAATGTGACATTAAACACATTCAGAAGTCATTGTATTAATTATAATAAAATGTTGCTCGACTAGCAGACACAATGCAAACCAAATATGATATTGATTGGGTTCTACAACGGTTGCATGCAACGATCATGATTCCTATTTCTCGCTGGTGGTAATTACTCAATTCGTGCAAGCTATAGGTGAAAATACGCGACGAAACTTGATTCTAATGCAATCTACTCCTTACAAACGCTAATAACAAAAGGTTCGAGTTGGAGACCTCTTTTTCTCACATCCTGCCATCGCTTGCCACCAGTATGTGTGCGAGAGACGGGAACGTGTTTGGCGCTCATCCGTAACTGCTACGCTCAAGACTGAAGCCAAAGCAAAAAATATCACCGATGCCTTAGCACCGACTTCCATCCGCTCGTCGCATATATAGAAAAAACACACACACACACACAATGTACACATTTATTATTATATACTGAAGCGAATTCACGCACTTTTTATTGATTCAACCGCGAGTAGATTCAACCTACGATGTACGATCCAACATGTCCCTCCTGCGTTGGTTATGCAGGGAGAATACCCTCACACACCATGTCAACACATCTATCCATGCATCCATGCGGTAAAACTACCCATATATCTTCACATACGATCCTCTGATACATTCAACATAAATGAGAGGCGAAGGAAAGCTATATGTGCCTTGCCCAAATGTTATTCAACATCCCTTCAACATTCACATTATACACAATAACGAGGGATCGAATCGTACATCGTTCAACGCGCGACAAACACCACGTGCTGTGTAAAACAATCGTAGCAGTGAATTAAACTTCAGTAAAGCCTATTACATGTCGATTAACATACGTGTTTTATATTTTTATATAAGTATATAGTACGTTGGGTACGTCAATTCGTTAGCGATGGTTAGCAGACAATGGAAGCCGACATGACCGTATAACGTAACACACTCGGCGACCCAGAGCCGGAGTTACTGGCTATGTAGAAATAATAGGGAACTATATCTAGTTGGAATGGATAGAGTGCTTCTTATTTGGTGATAAGATTAACAAGCGACAGTTTCTAGCTGCCATAGATGGCGACAAGAAGCAGCTTCTCAATGTCATATTTATCAGATGCGGGTGCCTATTACACAAATCATGGTCCAGCCTCTTTCTCTCTCTCTCTCTCTCTCTCTCTCTCTCTCTCTCTCTCTCTCTATATGGCGGACCAATACGCCAAAAATATCTTCAAGTTCGGTACATGAAAAGGAATTAATTTGTAACTATAATGATTGAAGTAGTACAGCAAATCTTAGATAATTTAAATTTCCTTGGGAAAAAATTGAAGTAAAATTTCCAATTGGAAAATCTGCAACGTACCTAATATACTATAGTACTACCTACTTCTAAGTTCTAGTACTAGTAACTAATTATGATTAGTGGATTTAATCATGCTCCTGAGTAGAATTAAATATTGTGATTAACTTAATCATGATTAAAGTTAATTACGCTTCGTGAAACAGTCACTTTAATTTAAGTACGAGAAGTTAATCATGATTAGTGATTTAATCACGATTCAATACTTAAGTACGCTTCGTGAAACCGGCCCCTGGTGTCCATCTTATGCACCAGCTGATTGTGGACACACCCTTTTATAGTCAGCCATCAGCTTCCTCCTAAATTTTTGTTTTCAATATTTATATCCACCTTTTATAGTCAGCAGTGAGCTTCTTCCTGAATTGTTGTTTTCAAGATTTATACCCACCTATAATTCATTTGTTTAATTCATGCAAAAACTAGACAAAATATGTACTTACTCTTGCCACCGTCTCTTGCTGTGCTCGGGAGACTCGAGCTTGCTGCTCTGGCTCGGCAGCGATTGCCTCCTGTTGTAGCCGCCGAGCTCTATCCGTAGCCAAGCTCTCCTGGAATTGCTGGTTTTGCTCGCAAATAATGCAGTGTCCAGTGTGCCCCACTGTGTGTCCTTCTGAGCAAGTCTGAATATAAAAAAATCACCAATAAAATGAGAGCCACTTTATGAGGTCATTGGTGCTCTGATTTAATGTATATCAACCGTGACATGTCATACTGTGCTTTCGAAAAAATTGTGTTTGCCGACTCTTGGTAGTTCTTTGTGGAAATTAAAAAGTATTATCGAGTTGATCCAATAAGTTAACCGCCTCAAATTATATCGAAGACCAGTAATGTTCACATGTTCTAAAGTCTAATTTATATTAAATAAGTATGTAACCATTTATGTAACCGACTTTAATTACGTGGCATGCCATGCAATGATCACAATCTGTAAATACACAAGAAGAACACAAGGTTACGAATAACAATATCAATCACATTAAAAAATTAGAATCCCCATATGCACACTCACTTGAGGAGCAGGTGGTGCTGACGGCGGAGCAGCTGGTGCTGACGGCGGAGCAGCTGGTGCTGACGGCGGAGCAGCTGGTGCTGACGGCGGAGCAGGTGGTGCTGGCGGCGGAGCAGCTGGTGCTGACGGCGGAGCAGGTGGTACTGACGGCGGAGCAGCTGGTGCTGACGGCGGAGCAGGTGGTGCTGACGGCGGAGATAGTGATATAGTATAATAATATATATATATATATGAGGAGCGTATAATGAGATAATACGCATATTGTCATTATAGCGCTCCTGATATATATAAATAATATATGTAGATATACGGTGTGTGTGTGTGTGTGGTGTTGTGTGTTGTTGTGTAGTGTGGTGTGTGTGCGCGGGTGGTGCTTGCGGCGTGTTGCGTGGCGTGTCGTGCGCGCGTGTGCTGACGCGGCGTGTGCGTGGATGCGTGCGGTGCGTCGTGGCGTGCGTGTGTGTGTGTGTGTGTTGTATGCTTAATGGAATTCAACCAGCTCGCAGAAAAACATTTTCACTCTAGAGAGAGTCGAGGAGGCAAATATAGCAGAGTAACTGTGATATAGGAGTGAAGCTGTAGTTAGCTGCAGCCGTTTTCGTAACAGTTAATTATGATGTTAGTTAGTTAGGTTAGGTTAGGTAGTTAGTTAGTTAGTATTAGTTGATTAGTTGTTAGTTAGTAGTTATTATGATTAGTTAGTTAGTTAGCTAGCTAGCTAGTTAGCTAGTTAGCTGGCATCCGTAGTTTAGACACTAGCGATTCTACTGGGCCGTGAATCGCGTCAGTTAGAGCAAACATTCCGAGCGAGATGCGCCGTAGGGGCACGCGACGCCTGCTTGCGTAGCTCCCTCTTATGACCTGCTCGTGAACACGCGGCGCAGTCGCTCGAGTAATGAACCGGCGCGATGTTCGGCAGTACCATGCGCTTCTTGCTGTCCGGACTACAGACCGCCGTCTGGCACGAGAGAAACTCAAAGTAAATAATTGTAGTATTATAATTTTATATATCTTATATATCTAGAATGTATTTTATAGTCGAGCTTACGTTAATATTATTAACTTACTTATATATAATGACATTGGGCGCGGTTTATGACGCTCATAAACCACCATGTTTGTATTTGAATTGCTACGAATGTACCACGCACACGAGAACACACTCAGCGCAGAAGACCGAGTTTTTTCAGATACCATTACTGACGAGCTAAGCGCGTATAAGGAATCTCGAGTATAAGATGGCTTAGATAACCCGTGTATTCTCAGCGTGTGTTCCCTGGACGCATCCGAGAGCCGGCGAGGCGCTGTTGCTAGCGTGACAGTGTCAGCTGTGTCGCTGTGATGCCAGTTACTGCGGAGCTCTCTGTTCTAACATGCGTGGATGTCGTACCCGTAGGTTGAATTGTCTGTCCAGGGGTACGGCAGTAGGTAACTGTCAGAGGTACGGCAGAGTAAAGCTGTCAGGGGTAAGAGGCTAGAGGTATAGGCTGTCGGGTACGGGCAAGGTAGGCTGTCAGGGTTACGGCAGAGGTGAGGCTTGTCAGGGTACAGGCAGAGTGTAGGCTGTCAGGGTATCGGCAGGGTGAGGCTTGTTTAACAGCTGTCAGGGGTAACTGCAGAGAGTAAGGCTGTGTTGGGTATAAACCGGAAATTTATTTGAGGAAAGGATATAAAGTTTATAATGATACTCTGCCATGTTGGATATGATATGATATATATAGGATGAATATGATAATGATATCTATATATGATAATTAGGATATGATATGATATGAGTACGATACGATATGATAAGCGAATGATACTATAACGATACGATACTTGTTCAATTATTCAACGTCCGATATATATATATATATATATATATTAATGTTTAAATCTATTTTGTTTAATATAATTAGCCGTGGCAATTTATAGGTCCTCTCCCACACGACCCACAGCACACACAACAACACACACAGCCCACAACAGACAGCACACACACCACACACACACACCACACATACACACACACACAACTCCACACACACGACACCTCACACACCAGCAGCACGTATGCGGCACGACGCTTGCAGCCAACTTCGCTCATGTCAATGCGTGCGCGCGCACACACAACAACACACCACATTGTTGAACACCCATGGTGCACACCAGACGCACGACTGCGACACACTTCGCTCACCAAGCCGCACCAAAACACATGCACGGCACGTCCACCACTCGCTCACTCAATCGCGGCGCACGACTACCCAAACTACAGCACACGCAGCACGGGTTGATGCACACACTCGCCTCATTCACGCGGGATTGCGGCGCACACTACACACACACACGCACCTGCACATATTCGCTCACTAAACACGCGCGCGACACACACAGCAACACACACACGCTCGCGCACGCACAGCTTGCAACAACTCGCTCACTGAAAGCGCGCAGCCGGCAACACACGACACGCACACGTACGTCTTAGCGACACAGTTGCTCACTCAGCGGAGGCGCGCGCCACTTGTGTCGAGACACACACATACAGATAGACACTTCTCACACACACAGAGCACACACATCAGCTACCACGCCTTGCACACACTCGCTCACGTACAGCGCGCGCGCACTATGGAGTGAACAACGAATCAACACAACACAACACACACCACACACGCACACTTACCATATCATATACACTCACTTATTAAAGACCGCTAACACACGCCGCACGCACTGCGGCGCACGTCATGCCCTTCACTTCCATACTCAGCACGCCGACAAACCAACACCACGCGCGCACCCACCGTCACCTCAGACGGCCACTGTATTAGTAACAATAAATAAAAATAGAAAATGAATAGAAGCCACGCATTTGTAGGTAATAGTAATGTGTGAGATCTGGCGAAATAATATTGTAATAATGCTTGTCGTTAATTGAACATGCGGTACGCTTTCTAATGGTGTGCGTGAAAGCTAATATTAGGTTACCACACGTGTATTCTAACTAATGTTTCGCATTAATGTAGCGTGTCGAGTAAGGTACTATCACATTATCGTTTTACGACGTACCGGTATATGTGTATGATTGTTATATTGTTGTGCATCCGAGTCGCGAGTGTTCCTAAGAACCCCTAGGACACACTTGTGCGATATTGTTCATCGCTGGCGCTTGTTGCGCTGATGCGATAAATAGCGCTGGCCGGGTCGAAAAACCGGTGCGGAAATATTCAACATTTTTGAATCGACGATGCGCCGGCGTATGGTCGCGAGCGAAATAACCTGCCGTGGGAGACAATGTAGCCGCCGGTACCGGACAGAGCGGGCGCACGAGCGCGAACGACCGGCGACGTATTTTATACGATCGCAAGCGCGCAGCATAGAAATCCGCTGTGTCCTAAGGCTTAAGGTAGTGTGAAACATTCATACTAGTTCATATAGATGTTAATGTATAGCCGAGATGCCCAACGATCTAAGTAAACTATAATACTTACTTAACGTGATCACAATGCTAACGACTTTTTACGCAATGAGTATGATACACCACATCTTTAGCGTAATGGTATAATACTGTCTTATAGGCAAAGAGTATAATACCTTATATTTAAGTAATGTGATAAACTTGGCTTTTATACAAGGATATAATGCCTGATCTGTAATAGACAAAAGCATACTGGTGCTGCATTTACTTTGCTTTATATGTAAAAGTAAATATTTAAATGATAGGAGGACGTGCTATGCGGTTCACACCGCCCACGAGCACGTCTTGTAATAATGAACTACTACTGCGCGTCTTTCACTGTGCAGAACCGATATTCTACTCTGTCCATAGTCAAGAACACGATAGGTGTCGTGGAGCATGCGCATCGTGGAGAACTATGAACAGTGCGAATTCAACTTTCTATGGTTCAGGTAAATTAGTTATAATCAAAGTTAAATTTAGTTAAGCCAATAGTAGTCTTAAAGTTTGTAGTCATGTTTATGTGACTGGCGAAGGATATAAACACAGATGATGTCATGCAGCTTTATTCAGACGTACACATTACCTTGATGAGATTGCTGTGATGGCAAATGTGTTAGGTGTCACATGTTCAAGTCCACGCACTCGGCCCACTACACCGCGTTCGGTAATCACGGAAATAAACGTGAATTTGGTGCTTCACGTTATCTGCGTGACTGCATGTTATGTGAAAATCTTTTTGGTAGGCAATACTGTGTACGTGAATTTTGTTGTACAATGCTGGTGTACAATCTGGTGCAATGTCTTGTATACAATATTGTTAACGAGAGCCCTACAAAAGCAATTTACGAGATATAGCACAAGATTGTACTAAAAGATTGTAGCATAAAAATTGTACACAAAATTGTATAAATTTGTGGTACAACCCTGTGTACAACTCTTTGGCGTACAATTGTGTACAGAACTTGTGTAAATTTTGTGTAAATATTTGTAGACAATTTTTTACATATTGTATACAATTTTGTGTACAATTATGTAGCAGATCTTTTGTACAATCTGTGTAAAATTCGTCATTGCTTTGCAGCTCAAGCAATCATTGCAGAATTTTGGCGAAGCCTCTACAAACTCAAGCGACTGTGCGCGCAGGCAGCACAATCGCAGTGCGGCTGTGCTGACGCCAGGCGTTAACATTTCCTTTCGCGAGGTCATACGAACGATTGAATGCTGGGAAGAGTAAGCGTAAGTCTCACGAGAGCGTAGCGCTCAGGTGTTCATTCGGGAATAATATACGATCACCTCTGTAATCCGTGTGCTCGGCCTTGTTTCACGCCTCTATCCGTAGCGTCCGTCTTCCGTCCTCCGCGTCCGTCCGTCGCGTCCGCGTCGTCCGTCGCGTCACTGCCGTTCACCCACGTAAGTCGTCGCGTCGTGCGTTCGTCCGTCGTCCGTCCGTCCGCGGCCGTTCACTGTGGAACTTTCCGTCCATCCGTCCGTTCGTGTGTCTATGTAGTGGGTACTAGATTTAAGGAGGTCTGCAAATCTGCCGCGAAGTAAGGATGCTAATGATGAAAGAATAGCATGCTATTAGTGCC